CCCCCCCCCCCCCCCTAATTAGAGTTTATATTATATTATGGAAAGAAAATGAACTTAGTTGATTCATCTTATCATACATCATAGGTTGAGACCGAAACATGGACTTTTGCATAATACATAACAAATAAGAAAATTGATGAATCAGAGCCTTTTTTTTTTTTATGAAATAGACTTTGATAGACGTTAATTCTTTTATACTTCACGTATCATGTGATGTGTAAAAATTTATGCCTGACTTTTATAATAAAACTTTATGCTTCCGTCTTTACTCTGCATTTTGGAACGACCATGAGTTTTAACTTTTATTCAAAGATTTTGGAACATATCCCAAGGTATCTCATTTATAGCGAGAAATAAACTTCTTTGAAATATATTTGTTTGCGATTTGTTATAAATATCTTCATAATGCTTAAATATATATTAATAATTGTATGAGCTGAATATGAAATAAGAAACTTGATTGTGGGTATACCACAAATTTTCTTAAGTAGTATAAGATATATTTAAAACATTTAGAAATTCTTAAAATAAGACACATCATTTAAAAAATCCATAATAATATTCAATCAGTATTTAATTTTGTGATATTTTATTTAGAGAGTTCATCCATTAACTGTTCCACTTCATCTTTTAGTGTAATAATACTCCTTTGTACTTCATCCATCTACAAAACATTTGCATAACATTATTAATAAACACAAAGTAATGGTGCTTTTCACTTAGTGACACAAATATTATTTTATCTCTCTTGACATTCAATGAGTAACAAAGATAGAACGATATTTGTGTCGACTCTCTCTTACATTTTCAAATAGAAAGCACACACTAAATCAACAACCAAATATAATTTAAAGCATATACAATTACACAGTAGAATATAATTTAAAATATAATTGTGTGTGCATGTGTGTGTATGGAAATATATACGAGACTTACATATTCTTTTGTCTTGTACTTTTTGTATAAATCATATAATTCATCTACTGTCCATTCTTTTTCGTCTTGCTTGTTTAATTTAACAAATGCACAGCTTGACTGATGTTTCTCATGTTCGCTCCTGTAAAATTTTGATTTGTATATTTTACTGACAAAAATAATAGATAAATATAGTGAATTAAAAGAGAAAAGAAGGTTAAAAAGGGGCAAATAATATAATAGAAAATAAAAATTGATAATAAAAATGAAAATTTTTTTATATATGTATATATGTATGTATGTATGTACACATACATAAAAACAAAAAATTTTTACTTTTCACATTTCCACCCTAAAAAAAGTTATATGATTCCTGCTACTCTGAATATGGTAAACGCTAAAACCATATTGCACAATTTGACTTTCCAATAAATAATATGATTTTAATGTTCACTATATCTGCATACTTAATATTGTAAAAATTCCTCAAAAACATTGTATACTTTAACATTTCATTGTATCGATTTTCTCATCATTTCAAAGGGGCTTCAAACAGAAATTTGGAATAGAGAACAGATAATAATATCCTTTTTCACTAAAAACTGACATAGCACTAGTATTAGATTTGAATCTGTGCTAGTGCAGTAATGGCTCAATGGAATATATCATTGAATTACTTATTTTATATTCTTTTTTTATATAAAAATATTCTGATTTATTTCCTACAAAAAAATTCTTTATTTATTTTTCATGAATTAATTTTTTAACTCAAAATGTTTGTTGTATAGATATTACTATACATACTGGAACTAAAAACAATATCGTTACAAAGTTAATTAAAATAATATAATATCATATGTTAATATAACATAATACCTTAAAGCATAAATATCTCAATTTCAGTTAATTTTAACTTGTACTAGTCTTTTCGTCTTTAAAGGCAGTAGAGAAAAAATAACTCAGTTTAACTTTTTGTATCAGTTTTGTCAGTGATACATTAAACACTGAAAATATACTGGTTTTAATAGTGAAACAATACAATTGTACTCAGTTCATTAGTTTTCTCAATGAAAAACACTATTAGAACTCAAATAATGATTAGTAATTATTCACAGTTACTTCCTCAGTTCAAATTTTAATAAAAACATACTTATAAAAACATACTTAATTTTAATAAAAACATACTTATTGAACACATTTTCACTCAAAACGAATGAATCTGGCAGAAAAATATGGCAGTCTGCTTTGCAAAACAAGTTATTAAGTGTTAAAGTTTGGGGATATTACAATAACTTAAAAGTCTAAAACATAGAGATTAAGATATCTTTCGTATGAACTAGATACAGTACATATAATTCAATATCAATTAATACCTAAATGCTTTTCAACAAACTTTAATATTCTTCAATTAATTCTTAAAAATACATAGTCTCTGCTTTAATCATACATTACTATTTTTAAAACACAAATTCACTGTTTTAAAAGCAAAAATAACAAAAATTTGTCTATTTTTAATTAAAGATAAGTGAAAATAAATGACTAATATACAATACAGATACAAATCAGATACTTGTGGTCTGTTTTCTGTTCCTGCACTAGACTGAACTAGAACTCTCTTTCTCGCTTTCTACAAATATCAAACATATACCTATCTCACTTTAAGTTAACATAAATTAACTTTCTAAAAGTGTACACTAGTTCAGCTACAGAAAAGAGACCTTTGATATACCATGGATCGTCGTCCGGTTCCCAACCATCGAGTTGCTTGTTGCAAATGAAACATTCAACCAAATCGGGCTCATTGCTGTCCCCAACAACATAAAATCCAGCGGCAGCCATGCGTTCGGCATTGCATTTATCAGATTCTTTGAAGGGCCAGCTATTATACGTTTTCCTTCGGCTTTGCTTCCAGAAGTAAGAGGTAGCCTCCCTGAAAACGAGAAAGCGAAATGGAATAACTAGCTTGCACAATCTCGTTTTGAAAATCTAAGAACTTGTACCAACATATTTAATATGCATCGTTTAATCATTTCGATACAGATATGTAATAATACTTACGGTAAATCTACGAATATCTTGTTTTGTACCATCACATTCGCAGTCTGTCAGACAAATCGGCAACGGACAATTCGAATTATAGTGGAATTCCACCATGATTTGAATGATGGGCATAGATTACATCATGAAGTAAGAGAGGCTTAAAGCCTATTGCACACACTTTTGCATAAGGGTCTGCGCACAATGGAGAAACAGATATTAGATATTAAAATATTAACCTATCAGAATTGTGTAGTCCGGTGTAACTGGTATCTGATAGGTTAATATTTTAATATCTAATATCTGTTCCTCCATTGTGCGCAGCCCTAACGCATAAACCATATACATAAAGAATTTGATTGGTCCATTGTCTCATGCGTAAGAAAATGGACCAATGAAATTCCTTATGCACATGCTTTATGCAAAAGTGTGTGCTGCGGCCTTAAGCCTATCGCACATGAAATGCATAACTTGTGCATAAGCATAACATAAGGCCGCTGGACCAATGAGCATCCAGCATAAAGACACCATATTGATTAACATAAGATGCTTATTGGTCCAGCAGTATTATATTATGTTTATGCACTGTTATGCATTTCATGTGCGATAAGCGGGGAGCACAGACTTTTGCATAACGCATAAACCATATACATAAAGAATATGATTGGTCCATTGACTCATGCATAAGAAAATGGGCCAATGAAATTCCTTATGCACATGCTTTATGCGTTATGCAAAAGTGTGTTGGGGCTCATAAGCCCAACGATTAATATTTTGGTTATCAGAATAATGATAGTAATTATCCTTAACTGACAAAGTATTACGAATTTCCTCGCTAACGTAATTCTAGGTAACAAAACATTTCAGAAACAACATAAACAATCATACCACAAAAGGTAAAAACTTAATATTTTTATTAATTATTTGTTCTTTTACTGCTTGATTGAAATGTCTTAAATACAGTTTTTACAAGACATTGCTCTAATAAGGGACATATATCCTTATGAATTTTGCTCGAAAGATCCATGGAATATTTCATGGTATCCATATTGATGCTGCCTATCACAAACATTTCAGAAATTTGACCATGCTGTGGAAGAGCAGCTTGTATGACAATTCCATGATCATTTGTCGCATCTGGCGCAGCTTTTGTGGAACAAATAGTTTCTTCTATATCTGTTGGATCTACTAAATACATCCCATTGTATATACCCTATTAAAAGTGGTACATCATTTGTCACCATACATTAAAATAAGATTCTTATTGGATCATACATTTGAAATTTAGCAAATAGCAAGTAGAAAATCCTGGCCATAATGTTCAAAACTGGAACTTTTAATGTTTAACTAATTTAATATGAATTAATATATACTATATATGCATAGAATCATATTTGTAGTATATATATATATATATATATGATATTCACTGTGCTGAAATTTTTCTGGAGTTAAAAAAACAGCTACTGAAATATATCATAATTAAATTTTTGATGCTATAATAGGTATCTATTAGCATTAAAAGATCTAGCTTTGACCATTATGGACAAGATTTTTTACTTCCTATTTGTTGGGTTTCATCTTATATTATCGTTACTTAGTTAAAAAATTCTCAGGTATTTACTTACAATAGTGCATGCAGTGACTAAACCAAACATTGGTACTCCAGCATTTGCCAAAGCTAGACTAGCTGCCATTATCGCAGCAGTCAATGCAGATCCTCCATTATCGAGGACTGTTGCATAGACATCGACTTGAAAGTTAGGGAACTCTTGCTAAAATTAAAAAATAAATCTTATAGGACCGTGAGAAATAAGACCAATGAGAAACAAGTCTTGACAGTTTAGCTGAATCTTTGGTGTTTCTATATAATTATATGACTTATACTAGTATGTATGTACATAGTCTTTTTAGCTGTGCTTCCAATTTTTTCAGAGAGAATTGAAATAAAAGTTCTACTAAATTACCACAGTAATATCACAAGTTAAATTGACTAACAATTTGGTAATTCTTTATGCTTTTTATGCATCTTAAATCAATCTTAATAATATTGAACGATGTACTAAAATTTGTAAATAATTTCTATCGCAAAAAATATTTAAAAAATATAGATGTAACAATTGATAATTAAGATTTTTACATATTTTTGCAACTGTACAAATAATTAGTTTCATACAGTGTTTCTTTATACATCTTTTTTTTTTCAATGAAAAAAATAATGGAAAAAAATGTACCAGACACACTGCTGGTTCCAAAGCTCTTTGCAATATCAAGCTATACTCCTTTTCCTCTGCATCCTGCTGATGTAATTTCCGTTTGCGGTGAGAGAAGGATGCAAATTTGAATTCGCAGAATAGTTCCCCTTGCATACAAAAGCCAGATTTGTTTGGTATCTCTCTAGGATCAAATACTGAGCAAATAACCTTGGTGTCACCCAACTCAATATATGCAGAACCTTTTGCCTGACTAACAATGCCCGTTTTCAAAACTATACAAAAAGTTATTTTACAAAATCTAATTCTTAATGATAAATGCAACAAAACAATTAATTTCTTGATGAGCTAATTGTTAAATCACTCAGCATCAAAGTCAACTTAAATTATACATGCAGGCACATTTGACATAATCTCAACATCCTTACATATATTCCTGAATTCGTTATCTGAGCGACCATCCTGCCTTTTCGAACCATTACTGTGTATCTTATTGTTTTTCGCTTCGGAGTGGATATAAATATCGTACGATGTAGACACGTCTGGCCCATTAATACGTTTCTGATCAACCGGCATTCTTCCTCTTCGTTCTCGTGTTTTGTTAAAAAATGTTCCAAAGTCAGCGTCGCCAACTTCAACAAGACTCTTTCGACGATAACGATTTTATCGGCGTGTCACGAAAAAAGAACATGGTACGTAGTTCCAGCAATTCAAAATGGATGTTGTGCCGCTAGTGTACGGGGATTAGAAGTTAGAAGCATCACAGGAAAAAGATTAGGATGGCCGCTCTCAGGTTAGATTTCTTTCTCTTACAAATTTATATCGGTTCATATCGTTTATACTACATATGTAAGCCTCGTGGCCTTCAAGGATCGCTTGAATGAGGCGGACCTGTTTTACCTCGTCTCAAGTGTTGTATTATCATTTTTTTGGAAAACGTCGGCTTTGACTGTGCGTAGCAAGCTTAACCAAGTTTAATTCGTCATCGAGGGTCCAGGCCATTTATATTAGAAAAAGAATACTAGTCCATATAAGGTCTATGATCATCGCCTATTCCTAACCTAGAGGTTTCTTTTAAATATTCAGGTAAGAATTGTTTACATAACGTGCTCATATGTATAGTCGTAGTACTTCAATTATGTTTTTATTGTCTAATATATTCACCAGTTATATGAATACTATACTATGTCAATATTACTCATCTTTTTGTTATAGTTGATCTGCAGCAAGAGAACCCATTGATAATTAAACCTGATAAAAAAAATTAATGGCACATCTTACAAGCCCTAGTTCCTCAATAACATCTGTAATTCCAAAGTTTTCAACTGTACAAATAATACCCAAAGCAGTGCCACTTAAAATAATTAAGCCTCAAACTCTTGCATATACTTCTGTCATAACCTGTACAAGAGGCTCAACAGAAAACTTAACTACAAGTGTACCTTTGGATTCTGTATCAATTAAATCAGGTTCTTTCCAGCCTCCGGCTATAACTTATGAAAGTCTTTTCATTATAGCTTTCATAACAAATTCTATGCAACATATGTCTATAATTGTATCTTTATTGGAGTCTTCTTCTACAGATTCATCAGATGATGAAGAAAAGAATACTGCTGTTTTCAACAAGGATGGCCATTTTATTTGGAATCACAAAACCATAATGTTATTTTTCACAGAGTATGCGTATCATGAAAAAAAGTTACAGAAAAAGAAATATCAAAGTAAAGAAGCTATGTTTCAAGCATTAGCAGAATCATTTCAAAAAAAAGGTTATATGAATGCTACAAAAAATCATATGAAAAATAAATTCAAATTATTAAAGAAGAAATGGGACAAGTACATTCTACGGACTATGGGAGAAAACAGTTCTGCAAAAAGCATAAAACCTCCTTCATATGAAAAGTAAGTTTTTAGTTTATTTTCTGTTTGTGAAGCCTATGGCACATGTATTTTTTCCTACTAGGTTGCTTGTGTTTTAGTAAATTACTAGAATAACATCATACAAACACAATTACTAGTAATTTAATAAATACAAGTAATTCAGCAAGAAAATTTACACTGTGCCTTTATTATAAATATGATATTTTATAAATATATTTTACTTATAATAATTCAATCAATTTATTTGGAAAATGTGAAGAATTATTAGTCTGTGATGGATCTCAGTTCGCAAACTTTTCTTTTGTATATATTTGAAAGAATTGCCAACTTAAACTGTGCATTAAAATATAAATTGTTGTCCTGTGGATCTGAACAATTCATCTATTCATTCTGATATGTGTCCATGTGGCATAACAACATCATAAACGTAGATGCCTGGTATATGAACGGGCTACATCATTGTCATGGACATTGCATCATTTTAGACTTTGAGTACTCATAAGATTTGATCTGGCTATATTTTCTCTAGAACTTTTAACAGAGGAAGACGCCATTAATTAAAAAAAATAAAGAAAAATTTACTTATTTAATGTTTTTATTTATTTTTTTGTTATTTTTACAGTATCCTATGTATTTAATGAATAATTAATGGAATTTACTCTTACAGTGAAATGATAAATATATTTGGAAAAAATCTCAATGGAGTGCCACCTTATGTGACTGGTCACAACAAAATTGTTTCTCAGAAAACGATTTTGCAAAAAGTTAGTCAAACTTTGTCTGAGTGAGTATTAATTATAATATTTTCTTAAATGTAAATTTTATATCTGTTTTTTTTTTCCAGATAAATACTAATTAATATGTTTTTGTTACAGAAATAATGAAGAGCAATCATCTATCAAGGTACACCCACCATTTTCGACACTATCAATGATTAGCAACAAATCACAAGCAATGGCGAATAGCGATAGATCTTCTATAACAGATAGCAATTGTTCATCTTTAATAAATACGAAAACAAACATTCAAGATGGTAAGTTGTCGCTTATTCTGCAATCAGTTAGGGAATCTATTTGTAATATGCAACAAGAAGAAAATGATGTCAAACAAGAAATATGTACTAAAATGTTAGTAGAGTTTCAAAAATGTAATGAACGCTTAAATGTAATGAATGAATTACAAAAAGAGCGTAACATCATCTTGCAAAAGCAACTTCAGGTATTAGAGAGACTGGACAAAAAAATATATCTAACACAAAAACAATCAGACGATAAATTGTAAGACTGAAAACATTACTGTATAGATGTAAGATATAAATATAGGTTATGTACATAGATAATTGCTTGTATAAAGTTTATAATGTAAATTTTGTTTGAAGTTTTTATTTGACATTTAAATAATTTTTAATTTATTTCAAATTTTCATTTTATCAAATTTTTATTTAAATATATATATATATATATATATAATACATTTCTGTTATTTTTTATGGATAATGTGACAAGGCTTCATGTTAAGCTTCACAAAAACAAAACTGAGTTTTTGAGTCTTTTTACACAGTAAAAAGCAATATTATTTAAATATTTGACTTTTTTGAGGTATTATATTTACGGTTTATTCTGTGTAAAGTATATCAGTCATCTCAACAATTTTTTTAATTTTGCACATAAATAATATTCTGGAAGATAGAATTTTGTATCAAAGGATTTATTGCAAAATTGAGATATAAACAATTAAAAAATAACATTAAGGGAAGGCTCGATAATAATAAATAGATATTAATATAATTTAATAGGCAACAAGCCGAAATAAAAATAAACAAATAACAAGCCTGGCTTGTATATGCAAATATATAAATATATATTTTTTATATTTTATATATTATTTTAATATTTTCTTAGTAATATTGTAAACTATTAATTAAAAAATCTTATTACCGCTCGATTTAAACCGTTTTTCTTTATACTAAAAATTATATATTTGTGGATATTCGTGGCAATGGTGGTAATAAATAAAAATCATAGCGTATCAGCGCACCCCTCACCCTGATGAAGTGAACGGCATGGTTCACGAAACGTTGGTATCAATAATGAAGAAAGACACGGCGATAACCCTTCTGGTATAATTGAAATAAAAATCATCTTCATCTGAAGATTCAAGGCCAACGACCAATATTAACATGTTACGTCTGTTCTATCGTGCGCCATTTTAAGGCGAGAAACACACACACTTTTGCATAACGCATAAAGCATGTGCATAAGGAATTTCATTGGCCCATTTTCTTATGCATGAGTCAATGGACCAATCAAATTCTTTTATGTATATGGTTTATGCGTTATGCAAAAGTCTGTGCTCCCCGCTTAATACTGCACTATTGTGTAAGGGCGAGTTTACACCTGACGGAAAAGCGGTAGCCAATCCGAACTCGCGCTGATAGTCTACTTTCTGTTAGTTTTGTGTATGTATGTACATACAATTTGCGCCTTTCAACTCTGTTTGGCATTAAGCCGTAATCACACTAGCGATTGTGATTGACGATTACTTTTCAGGGTGCAAACCCATGCAGCGGAATAGCGTAACGCGGAACGAGAGCAGAACCAATAACGAGCATTCCGTGTTTCTAGAGAATCTCGTGATTGGTTCTACTCTCGTTCCGCGTTACGCTATTTCGCTGCATGGGTTTGCACCCTCAACCAATCAGAACAAAGCAATCGGTGACTGCTTTGCTCCGATTGGTTGAAAAGTAATCGTCAATCACAATCGCTAGTGTGATTACAGCTTTATGTGTTAAACGGCATTACTTCTCGGTTATTTTCATGTTAATGGACGAACCAGCCAGCAGAATTGCGCGATTTCTCCAACCTCTATAGTCTATATTCGTGACATCTCGAATGTGTGTGATTAAGGGTCTACGCACAATAGGAGAAATATTAGGAACAGATATTAAATATAAGAATTTTAACCTATCAAAACTGTGTATTGAGGAATGTGCGCTCTCTGACAGGTTAAAATTCTTATATTTAATATCTGTTCCTAATATTCTCCTATTGTGCGTAGCCCTAACCTGTCAGAAAGCGCACATTCCACAGTACACAGTTCTGATAGGAAGGGTCTGGTCACAATGGAGGAACAGATATTAGATACCGGAATACACGATTCTGATAGGTTAATATTTTAATATCTAATATCTGTTCCTTCATTGTGCGCAGACCCTAAGGGTCTACGCACAATAGGAGAAATATTAGGAACAGATATTAAATATAAGAATTTTAACCTGTCAGAAAGCGCACATTCCACAGTACACAGTTCTGATAGGTTAAAATTCTCATATTTAATATCTGTTCCTAATATTTCTTCTATTGTGCGCAGACCCTTAAAATCCTTATATTTAATATCTGTTCCTAATATTTCTCCTATTGTGCGCAGACCCTAAAGTTTTGTTGACAGTCATAAACTTCGCTTTAAAGTATATTTACATAACCAAATTTTTTATTATTTACGGCTTATAATTTATCAGTAGTGCTGTAGTATAGTAGAGTACAGTAGTGCTGAGTAGTGCTATGGTACATTCAGTAATGCCTCAAAATACTCCTAGTGCTCAGTAGTGCTTTTCTACAAGGGCAAATAACAAATTTTACAATAAATTTATCATGTCCAGGACATAAAAATGTACAAAGAACAATATTCCTTTTATTTACATCTATAAATTAGTTCTTTTTTACGTTCTTCTTGCTGCTTCTACATCAATTTTGACATATATACATAAGTTAAATAATGATAATACTCAAATTTCAATAAATTCTATTATAAATGGTAATTTTTACGAAAATAAAGTTTAAATGAATGGCATGAATAGAAGAGATATGTCGGGCCAATCACAGACGAGGCTACAAGTATCCAGACTCGGATTAGAGAGTCTCTAGCTTCAATGGTTGCGTTCAGCAGACTCAACAGTTTTACAACTGTCTTATGATCTTCGCTTAGATATTTAAAAGTATAATCCAATCAGCGAGACGAATCATAAAACGGTTGCAAAACTGTTGTGTCTGCTGAACGCAGTCATCGACACACTCTACTCCACAGTTCTATTACTCATGTGATTTCGGCTTAATGCGAATACAGCCTTTAAATCTCTCCCCTCACTATGTGCATTACGTGCATACCCCCATTCCATTAGTTTAAGCAAATGGCGTTGTACGGGTGGATATCGTTGCGTCAAATTTCACAAATCATGAATGAATTCTAAGTACCGTCGCGCATTTCTCATGAATTGAGGGTATTGTTAGCTCCGGTAAGCCTTCTCTCGACCGCAGCACATTTTTTGCGTATGGAATTAATCCCGCGATGCAAGAAAACGCATATTTCTTCGGAGGTTTTCTCAGTATGTAAACAAACATTGTACCACACGTCGAGTGCTGTTGAGTTCTATACCGTGATGTTCCGAAGAATCCCGCGGTTATCACAAAATTATCTATCTCCTTTTTTTCCGTAATATATGCGCGAATATGTGTGGAATTTGATGGATTGTATTGTGCAAACTGCAATTTGTATTCACACAGCATCTCTGATGCTTCGTCTGAATTCTTTACTTTTGTCGCCTCTTTAATGTGTTTTCTTTGAAATTCTTACCTGCCTTTTTTTGAATCTCTTATACAGTACTATTTAATTCATAAAGATAAATCTAAAAGTGTATTTTATTAGAATAAAATATCACTTTAGCATTATAAACTATTATGCTATATAGATAAATCTATGTAATTTGATTAAATGTGTATACAATATACATATCCGTATGTATAACACACTGATACTATCTTATAATGTATGTATGTAATTCTATTAAAGTTATGATATATATATTTAATTTTTATTATATAATAGTTATTAGAAAAATTATATATATATATATTTTTTTTTTCTAATAACACTAATAAAGATCAAATATATAAATCATAACTTCAGTATATATAGGATGATCCATACCAATCGTAAGAGCTAACATAAATGCATTGTTTATGAAAAAGTGAATCAAAACATCCTGTATCATTTTGTAATTTTTGAAATTTTTTTTAATACTCGATAAGCAAAATGTTCAAAAATTGACATAAAAGACAACTTTAGAAAATTTTTAGTTTTTTCCAAGAAATATCTTTTTAAGAAATACGTTAAAATTTGAAAGATATCTTAATATTGTCTTATACATCAATTTTATCTGCTTAATCGACAATTTTTAGAAATTAATATTTTATCAGTTGTTGCAAAAGTTAGATTTTCATAAACAGTATATACATTTTTTTGCAACTGATCTAGACGTATGTCAGTGTGTATGTATGTGTATATATGTGTGTGGAAGGAAGGAGGAATTAGGTGAATATTAATAATTAAACCAGCTTCATCATAGGAGATAAATGTTTTATTTTCTCTTTTGAATAATTTCTTATGCACATTTTAGTTGCAATCACTAATTTATCTTCCATAGTAAAAAACTGGTTTAACCATTACTGTTTGTTCTGTATATACAAAATGTATAAGATTATCAGAATTATAATCTTATATCAGATTAATAAAATTTGATATAGAGAGAGAAAAATGTTTTATACGCGCGCGCGTGCACACACACACACACACCCTTAAATTATATAATACATAGATAACGTGTTAAATACTTGTCACACATGGCAATATATTTAAATTAATGTTTTCAGTATTTTGCAACAAAGTGCATATCAAATCATGAATGAAGTAAGTGGAGGTAAACAAGATGTTCCCAATGCTTCAAATTGGGAAGCCTTATCAGGACAGTCGGTGTCTTCATTGCCAGCTATACATCATCACCATCAAACGCTACAGCAAGATACAAATTCAACAGTAGCACAAGTTATAGTTCCTACCCCTGTTAAGCTTCAAACACCCATATTAACACCTACGCAAGCTGTAGCCGATCACTGTCCGCAACTTAGTCACATACAACAACCACCTCTTATAACGCAGGTATATTTTACAGGCTTACAATAATTTTAGTTTGCTAAATTATATATCTGACTCATCTATATTTCTCTTTTTTCTTACAGGGTACACCACTAGGAAGTTTTCCAGAGCCCGAGTTATCTTTGGAACTTCAACAACAGGGCTGGAAGAAGTTTTGGAGTAAACGAGAAAATCGGCCATATTTTTGGAATAAATTGACTGGAGAATCTCTATGGGTAGTTCCTTCTTTGAAACCTCAGGTACTGCAAAATATCAGAAAAAAAACTATATTTTATAATAAAATAAAATGTAACATATATATGTATCCTACTAAAGTTTGATCCAATTACGGATCCACTTGGCATTTGTGGTGTACCACCTCCACCTGGAAATGGAACGATTCCAGCTACACCAGGTTCTACGTTAAAACGAAGAACATCCGAGGATGGAGCTGTTCCACCAGCAAAGAAATTTGTATTGGCGTATGTGTTTGGTTTTATTAAGATGTTAAAGTATATTTACAGGCAAAGTAAATTAATAATTTATTTATTATGTTTTAGAGGCCCGTGGGATTTAGAAATACCTACAAATGTTATAATATATGAGCGAGCACCATCAAATTTGATGCACGTTCATCCTGAAGCAGAAGCTCTGCGTTGCGCTTTACTAGCAAAGCTACGACAGTGTTACCAAGAGTTATGTCATACCCGTGAATCTATAGATGCGCCGAAAGATTCCTTCAACAGGTGGCTAATGGAACGAAAGGTCATCGATTGTGGCTCAGATCCGTTACTACCAAGTCAATGCTTCCCCGAGATTTCAATGTCTATGTATCGCGAAATTATGAATGATATTCCTATTAAATTGGTAAGGCCAAAATTTACGGGGGATGCAAGGAAACAATTGTCACGTTATGCTGAAGCGGCGAAAAAGATGGTAGAATCGAGGGCAGCATCACCTGAAAGTCGGAAAGTGGTCAAGTGGAACGCTGAGGACACTTTCCAGTGGTTGAGAAGAACGGTGGGCGCCACATTCGACGATTTCCAAGACAGGCTCGCCCATTTGAAGCGACAATGTCAACCGCATCTCACGGCAACCGTTAAAGCCAGCGTTGAGGGCATATGTCTGAAAATTTATCATTTGTCGACAGAATATGCGAAGAAAGTGAAAGATAAAAATAACCAGATCCTTAAAGATAATGGTCTGGGGGATGTTATACCATTAGGAGGTCCTGTTAGTACGCAAAGAAAAGTTTGGTGTTATCCTGTGCAATTTTCCCTTCCCACATCGAGACTTCCACAGGTGGATTATCTCCCTGAGCGCGAGCAAATAATGCTACGCTTTCATGGTGATACTATGTATATTAATAATACGCACTTTGCTAAACTGGAACATTTGTATAGGTATAACGGTTTTGATGATAAAAAGTTCGAAATGTTTCTGTCACGCGTTTGGTGTATGCTGAAACGTTATCAGACGTACTTCGGCATCAACGAGGGTCAAGCAACCCAGATGGCTCTCCCGGTGACGGTTTTTGAATGCCTTCAGAGGTCGTTCGGCGTTACGTTTGAATGTTTTGCCTCACCTCTAAACTGTTACTTTCGGCAGTATTGCTCAGCGTTTGCCGATACGGACTCGTATTTCGGATCGAGGGGACCATTTTTGGATTTCAGGCCGGTCAGCGGATCATTTCAAGCAAATCCACCATATTGTGAGGAACTTATGGAAGCTATGGTCAACCACTTCGAGCGTCTTTTGGCTGATTCGACAGAGCCTTTGTCATTCGTGGTATTTTTACCGGAGTGGCGTGATCCGGCTCCTAACGCGCTCATAAAACTCGAGAGTAGTCACTTTAAGCGCAAACAAGTAGTAGTACCCGCTATGGAACATGAATATCGACATGGATTCCAACATATTCTTCCAAAGTACGTTTATACAAATTAAACCCCACGTTAATTGTATCGAAAATTGGTTTTAAAATCAGTTAATTCTTTTTATAACTTAACTTATAATTTGGGATGAACAAAAGATGTTACAGATACATTATTTGATTCTATATCGGAATAATATTAAAGATGAGAAACATATGCTCTGTGAGCCCCTTTGATACATTATTTCAAAAACTATCTGAAGTTTTATGTCTATCTTTTATTCGTTATATATGATATTAAGCTATATTGTAATGTATGTGTAAAAATTAATTTCAGAAAGACCTGATTTTCCATGTAATTAATGAAGTCCTTTATACTGATTAGATATGGCATGTGTATAATATAGAATAGTGAAAAAAATGTTGAATAAATGTTTTTTTCCTCATTCCAGAGGTGATGTAAACATCCGAGCAGTGCATGGCACGCTAGTTGTGTGGTTACAAAATCCAGCCGGTGCTGCACGATGGGGACCTACTGAAGAGCGAGTTGAAGCGTTATTGGAAGCATGGCGACCTGGTCGAGAACGAGAAAGAGATAGACAAGAGCTTCTTTCTCCGCCACGACAAACGCATCAACCAATACCGTCAACGCCTGTACCGTCAGTACCTGTACCGACAACACCAACTACGCCGACGGTGCCACCTGTACAGCCACTACCAAGTCATCCTATATAATTAAGTGATATAATACAGTTAGTGATATAATCTTCATAAAATAGAGAAAACGTATAAAAATAAATAAAAAATAGGAAAATTATTTCCTATATTTGGAGATAAATACGATTTATCTCTTGTAAAATATATAACTTCTTTGTTAAGGAAATTTATTTTATACTTTGGCACATATAAAATTCAAAAGAATAAAGTGTGAAAAATAAAACAAGTGTTAGGTAATTATATACAGAGAAATTAAATATAACATAGAAACAATATGAACATTACTTTATAATCTATATTTTTATTTAGAGATGCACTGGATTATATAAAATTACACTGAATACTGGATATCGGATATCCGATAGGACGATTATCCGGTCGAATATTAAATATTTTCCTGATATCGGGTAAAAATGTTCTAAAATTAAAAAAAAAAGAGAAAGCAAAGAAGAAACAGTGATTATAATTACTGACTGTGGAACAGAGTTCTTTGTTATACGATTTCAACATTGCTTAGTAAACAAAGATCGAAATTAATAAAGTTTTTATGATGGACAATATTAGTTTATCATTTTTTGGTGATAATTTATTTTGATTATCGGCATAAATCAACATAACTATGTAAAATTAAAACTATGCAAGAAATTTAAGTGAACAAAAAAATAGAATTCTGCATCAGTGAAGTAAACTGTGAATATAAAATTTCACACAGTTTTCAGGTGTGGATATATTATCAAACACAATTTCAGCTGTGGATATATTGCTGGATACTAATGATATTCAGATAGTAAAAAGTACCGGATAATATCGGATATTTTTCGGATATTCGGTGCATCCCTAATTTTCATGCTAAAATTCACTGATAACTTAATATCAATTACATTTTAAAATAACCTCGCAAAAATTGATAACTAATGATTGATGAACATTATTATTTAATTCTATTATATTAGAGCAGCGGAGTAAACTGCTGTTACTTCTGTTCAGTCATGATTAACAGTAAAATGTAAAGATTTATAAAGGTGAAATGTACATGTCTAACGTATAAAAAGAGTTTACTTGTCAAAAAACCACATTGCAGAAAGTCTAAACTTTGCAATAGTGATTAATTGTTGTTGATCAATGTGTTGGACTTTGTGACATGTAATGCTTTAAATACTAGACTTGCTATGCAAGATAAATATTGAGATACTATTGTAAATTGAGAAAATTAAATTTACAGAAATATAACAAATGTACAGATGTATGTTGTATGTATGTACGTGTGCAGATATAGGTGGTAGAATGTATGTCTTGCCTATAATCTACTTAGTTGTGAGACCGGAAAAAAATTTTATCAAGAAGAACTGCGATAAAATTGTTTGTCATATTTTTTATTAACCATGACAATCTTTTTCTTTAGTAATGAAGAATATATAAAGAAAGAATCGTTAGCTACTCATTTTGTTTTAAATAGCTCTCTGCTGGTGCAATATTTTTTTATCATTTTATAAGTAGTTGTGTGAAAAAAAAATAATGAACATAATTTTGAGAAAGACTATATAGAATTTCCCTGCATATGAGAGCACATTTTTATTATAAATATGTACAGGCATATCGTATAAACAGAAGAAATACATAATGTAACTATGATTTTTAAATATTTTTTTCAGACAAATTCTACAAAATTAATTAAAATAATTCGAATACTGCTACAGTGATGCGAATGAACTTCTATAATTCTTTTTTACATGCATTAGAGCATACATCGTGATGGAATAACAGGATTAAATGCACATTCAAAAGTAATATATTATTAGAAATTATATATTTATGGACATGTAATTTCCAATTATGTATTCTTATACATTATTCAATTATTTTATTAAATATTCGTGGTCTGGGGCAATTTGTCAACACGTTGGGAATTTCTCTCTCACTTAAAAAGTGATATTTATATCTTAGAAATTTTGTATATTTTTATTAAAATATATGTACGCGCTAGTGTATATACATACACACATGCACATGCGCCATTTTTAAAAATTAGGATATTTATGCTTACATAATTGAGAAGTAAATAAGACAATATGTTAAAAATAGATATAAGTTGCGTTTTACGAGATATTTTATAAGCAGCAGAGACAATGTATTCACCATTAGGTTGCACTATAGCTTAATAGAATACAGATAACAAATTTTTATTGTAAATCTTTATCATTTAGAGCTAGTATACAATTTAACTAAAGAAAAAAAAAAAGTTACGTTTTCTATGTTTAATTATTTTTTAGAAGTAAAAATAAATTTTACTCGTATATCTTCGCTTTTAATATAGCCATATTCATTATAGAATCTATAGAAGATAATTATTGCTTTTTACTGTATATTTCACACATTTGAAATTTCTTTAAATTGATTTCTTTTTTAATTCTCTTATAAATTTTACTTGTGTCTACTATGATTAGATGGCATCTAACATAATGCTTACTGTACAAAAGATATTTTAAATTAAGTGATTCTGCAAAATGTTATCTTTCAAGAGAAAATTTAAATAAAGTTGGGGGGGGGGGGGCAGATTTATAAAACTTGATATACATAAATACATAAAAATAACATGATATTAATTGTGAAAGTACATGCTATATTTACAAGAAAATTTACAATTGGCATTTTAACAGTTTGTCTTGTTTCGTTTACAGTTTATTGGATTTTGTATTCATGAAGAAACTGCATTTTCAATATTACAAGAATCGAGAAACGAAGCAATATGTTTCAGTAAAATGCGGGCTTTATCATTCTCACACATCCAATTGTACACGGACAAATCTTGCGCGTCTGTGATAATATCCTCCAATATGATTTTAAGTGCTCGCAAATCAAACAAACAATGATTATGTCCGAAATAATACTTATTGAAACTTATGACTTGACTCTTTTTTATCATAGCATGTAAACGATTCTTAGCAATAAACAATATAAATTCCAGAAACTGTTTATAGTCCATGCCATAAGAGGTTTTTAGCATCAATTGGCAATGTTCATTCCAATTCTTCATATCCTTGCAGTCGTCAACTTCTTTCATCACAGATCTTAATTCCTTTTTTAATGTACACCACGCATTCGTGATATTACAGCCATTAATCCAATTGTGATTAACAGAAATTGTATCTTCCTATACAAAAGATTATATATATATAATCATTTACCATTAATATCAACAATTTAAATTCGTCTTTTGCAAAATTCTATAACTATTTACCAAATTCCAAACTTGATGATGCCATCCAGATGGCACAAATATAATCTCCCCTGCTTCTTGAATTACATCGAAACATTTTAACTTTTTACTATCGTACATTTTATATTTTGTATGATCGTTGAGTTCTTCTGAAACCACATCATACACCAATTGCCCATAAAGATCACGAAGGTGATCTTCCTCGTGTGGGGGAAAGAGCAACCATCTCTTTCTTCCGACAATATTTGCAGACCAGCTATACGAAGTAAAAACATCCGCGTGCAATGGAGTCCTGAACATTAGTGTATATATACATATATACACACACATATATAGCAACAGTTAAATCAGTCTATGGAATAATAAACGATAATTGAGATACAGAAATAAATAAGAATATTAAGCCAGAGAACAATCTTGACCAAAATAATACTTCTTACAACAAATTATTTACAGATTTTAAGACGCCAGTAGCAAATTGATGATTTAATTTAATTTGGGGGAATTAAGTTACAAATTATGTAAATAAAATTATAGCATCGAAAATATATCATATTTACCAAGTCTCTTTTGGTCCCATGTATACAAACATGTAATCGTCATTTAGTTCAGGGTGAGCATTGTAATATTCATTTAACCAGTCTGATACAAAATACTGAGGTACTTCGTACATTGGGATATCGGAGAAGCTTCTTACACAATGCCAATCTTTCAAATACAACAATGGCATTGATTTATCATAACAGCTCCGTTTGTAATCAACCCAATATTCCAAATAATTCTCCATAAGCATATTATTCTTGAATTGTGAATTGTAAAACTTTCTATTACAATCAGCAACTGGGACAATGGAATGTCCTAAGAAATAGAGATTATATTAATAATTTATACAATGCAATTCTTTCCTCCCTTTATTTTGCACATACCAAACAGTTTGCGGAGTGCCTCGAAATTAGGTGCACCATTCAGTACCCATTCATGCTTGCATGGCCAGTCCTCAGTTGCTTGAAAACTGATTACGCACGGTTTGTTACATATTAAATACTTAGTGAAGAAATCATTGTACGTCATCGTCGAGTCGATTCGCTCGATCGTAGTGGTAACGCAAACATCCTCGTTTGGATATGAGTCACTGTTGATCTCAATGAGCGTTGACATGATCGAAATTCGACCTTCATTGTTCGGTCTAACGCAGAATCATCGCGTTAAATTGATAAAGATATTTATTTCAGTGCCGCTGTCAAGGACATACCAAGACGCGAGTTAGCGAATAAATAATCTCTATAATTTTTTGTGTCCTTTTTTCACTTGTGATAAAAATCTCATATCAAATCGATATGTGTAAGAATAATTTTAAATAGGTACAATTATCTAGAAAAAACTACAGCGATTTTAATCGATCTTTAACAGTGGATAACAATCGTCAATGGTCGTTTCACAGTGTATTCATACCTTCCTTCTTCTTCTTCAGGCTTTAAATTTCCGACAATTTCCTGTCAGAGTCACAGTGTATATGCTTCTTATACCTCGATTCAATCTGAAACTCGAAAGCGTATATGCCTGAAACGGAACGCAGCCTCTATTCTTGCCAATCTTGTCGTCAGTGCTTGACTGACAATTATAAAATTTCAAATTCTAAACAATTTTAAAATTTACATTAAAAAAAAAAGTTCCAAAAAATTATATTTAAAAAATTCTAATAAAAATTTTTGCTTGAAATAAATATTGCATTCCATGACTGAAATGTCTATATTTCGCGTTACACACATATCAGTCATGTTATTTTACGTTCTAAAAATCTAAAATCAATATTTCTTTTTTATTCGCGTATGTTTTTACATTTCCACGTTTTATAACATATTATGACGAAATAGTTTATACAGGTTTATATAACAAGTTTTTAGAGCGGAAAAGATGATTCACCAGGAGGAAGCAGAGAATTATACAAGTATATATCACCAGTCCCGCTGTCTCGCTCGCTCTCGTAATACGTAGTTTCCGCAGCTCGAAAATGGACGTTGGTGCCGCTAGTGGGAAGCATTAACAGGAAAAAGGCCGTATGGCCGCTCTCAGGTTCTTTCTGATATCACACACACACACACACACACACACGTATAAAGCCTGTTCTACAATAGGATCGCAAGTCGTAAGCCGTAAGAAATTACCCCGGATCTCAAATAGAGTTTTGTTTTAAGCCTTAAGCCATAAGGATTAGACGATAATCGCATGACACATAGAAAAACGTAAGGCCGTAAACGTAATCAGTAAGCGAATTGACCAATCACAGTTGAGAACGTAAGTGGCCGCCGCTGCGTTCTCAACTGTGATTGGTCAATTCGCTTACTGATTACGTTTACGACCTTTCGTTTTCTATGTGCGCCATGAGTTTAATCGATGTTCATTGGCTACCGTGTCACATTTTGCCGCGCGGCAAGCGTTTCCGCGTCCAGTGTGCTGGAGCCATAATAGAATAGACTTGTTGCACGTTCCTCTACCCCCACCATTGCTCATAGGCTCACCTTTCACGTCACTTTCACTTTTTTTAGGCAGACTTCTGTTCTATACAATTCTATACCCTGTTCGGAATCACGGGTTTGATTTGACTACGCCGCCGTATATCATCAAGCGTCATACGCGTTCACCAAGTATTGTATTGATAATCAGTACTACCCAGTATTATCTAGGTGTAAACTGGAGTATAGCGAAGGAGTGCGGTCGAACATAATTTTACTTAAGCATGAAGTCGCATCCGGTGTTTTCTGTAAACATGATGTAAAAGTTACGCGTGGTTTACAATCGTCGTGTCACAACTGTCATTTATATGTATAAATAGAACGAGTGCTAATTATTTATTTGATTGACACCTGTTAATCTTCAACAGGATAAGCGTAATAACGCTTTATATTGTTCCCTCAATTATAATGATATATCGGCTACCGAAGAGACGTTTCGTGAGAAGCAGGTACTCGCCTCAATTAAAATTACATGTATGTACAGGCACTCTTTGTCTGTAGGAGTTAATTCCTTTTTTTTGCCTAGAATTTTTTTGCCTTACATTAACTCTTTAAAACAATGTAAAGAGTATGCTAGAGAAAGAAATATGTTCACAAATTTTTATTTTATGTAAAGAATTAGAAGCTTTGATCCGTTGTCCGATTTCTAAGGTGAAGCTGTTAGTTCTGTTCATATCATCTTTTAGATATACAAGTAAAAAGTGATAATAAAGATATATCTAAAAAATTTGTATACTCTTAAATGTCTATTATATATTATTTCTATATAATGTATATTGTTACAAAAATATATTGTTATTTTTAATTAAAATGTAATACTTAATATATGTAATAATAATTGTTGTACTTATCAGATGAAAATATAGCAAATAATGTAAATTACATAAATTTCATACTCACAGAAATATTAAACAAAGATTATTTATTATATATAATACAATATATATTTATATTTATAAATATAATTCTTGAATTATACTTTCTTATAATTATTTTTTATCTTATATGAACTAAACATAATTTACATATTAATTTAACATAATAACAATAAAACAATTTCTTATAACAAGTTTGTGGAATTAAGTTTGATCGAAGAAACGACTCGCAACGAGAAAATACTCTTAAAAAAACTGTAACTGCACTAATACAGTCAGGATGTTGATGTACCTATTAGTGGCAATAGTACCAATCGTCATGGTTGAGATTTGGTATATGGGAATGTAAGTTACTTTACCATAATTGTACCTCTGTAAACAATGTTGTATTCCTTTTGTTTATATAACTTTGCATTGTAATGTAGCTTGCAAGCTTATTCAAAACAAGAAAATGTAAAATCGATTTATTTCTCTTTGTTGGCTAAAATTTATGTCGACTGGATTCTTTAAGTGCAATTGTGTTGTGTCTATTGTGGTAATACCCTGTATGGCATCCTGCAGTTATTCTTGTTAGCCATAAATTATTAATCATCATGAGCTAATTGTGGCATGATATAACAGAACTAAACGCAGAAAAATGTTTTATCAGGAGACATTGTTTGTTATTTTTATAAACAGCATCTTATATTTCATCTTATATTTCCTAATTTATTAAACAGCAGTGGCGTAGTAAGGAAAAAACAGTCCATTCTAGGTTCTATCTTAGCAATAATGTATTAATTTAACAGTACTTTTTTGTTACAAGCAAAAATTTCGATTAAAGATTTATTTGTAGGTAAATAAAAAAAATTATCTCAAATAAAAGACAAAGATGAGCCACTGAAATAACATATGACATTTTGTTAAAGACAAGTATAATATATAAACACAAATTTTTAATTCTAAGCTCGAGCGTTTAACTTACAAGATTCATTATTAGCTTGCCTTTCATCGAATACTGCCATATTTTTTGGTAAAATAAGAAAACTGTTTTTTTTTTTACTGTCAATGCACTCTTTTCTTCTCCAAATGATTTGTCTTAAGCTGATATTCATAGTTGAATCTTATATTTGAGATTTATTGTCTTAAGTATAGTCATAAACTAATCAGAGAGCTGTATATTAGCATCTTAAGACATTACTTAAGATTGTCTTAAGATAGGAATGGACTATGAGTGCCGCTGTTATTAAAAAAAAAAAGATGAAAAGTTTTTAGTTTACTTAAAATGTAGACATTATTGTTTATTTTTATATATAATTTACGAAAACGTATGTGGAAGTGAAGGTGCAAAGTCTGCAGTAGTTTTATTGCTATAATCAATAGTATAGTAAAGAAGTCATAAGAGACGAGGAGGGAGAGACCATCCCGGGTGCAGCCTTTCTCTACTACGCCCCTGCTAAACACTGTGTTTGTTTCCTAATTTAAGAATATGAAAAGAACTTTAATCTTTAAACAGCTTTATAAATTAGTCAGTTATTGTGAATGGCCGCATTCAGTGCAGAACGTTTATTTTGCAACTATTGGCAGTTTTCGTCGTGCCAATTAAATTATACTTTCAAATTCAGAGAAGTAGTTTTGTCGTAGCGAGAAAAAAAACTAATTCTAACATTTTGACAATTGTAAAATATTATGTATGACCATGAACATGGTCAGTGAGTTGGAATAGAAATGTAAATATAATAATTCATATAATACATGTTGTCGGTACTGGAATATAACCTTATCCGAGAATGGATTGAAATGGATTAAAATGGATTCAAATTTTCAGAAATACGGATTCATGAATGTTAAAATGAATCCTTTTCAATCCGAATACGTTTTTATTCATTTATAGGAATTGCATGGAGCATATCTGTATACTTTTCAATCCGAATACGTTTTTATTCATTTATAGGAATTGCATGGAGCATATCTATATACTTTTCAATCATAAAATAATATTAGCTTTTTCAGTGCGTTTGTGACCATAGTGAATACTGTTCAATTCATAGTTTTGAATAGGAAACGCAGTTTTTCAGTTGTATCCAATTGAATTTAATTGAATCCAATTGAATTCAACTGAATCCACAAAATAGTATTCGCTATTTAAAATACGAATTCGAATAGACAAAATCCAATCCATTCTCGGATACTGGGTTCTCAAATCAAAATATCTTTCAATAAATATACAATTGTAAGTCAAGAGATATATTTCCTAATATAGGAAAATTTACTGGATTCGTTTGGAATTTGGGAGTCAAGAAGAAGATATCAATTTTTGGAATTATTTTTTATTTAAATATAATTATTTGTATTTTACATTTCATAAAGATTGGTATAAAAAGCGAATTAATACAAATTAGTATAGATTTATAAAATTAAAAAAAATTTTACTAAATATATACACAATTTAAACAAATGTAAACATAAATAAAGTAGAGTGAAGTAAAAGTGAATGTAAAACTGATAGAATAATAAAATATGAATTTTGTGTAATAAAAATTAATGAAACATGTGTTTGTAGTGTTTGTACTTACAATTAATTAAAGAAGGCATAATTTTCTTTACATGAATTTGTAGATGTAATATTATGCGTATAACGTAATCGAATAATTACATAAGTATTAGAGATTTAGTTAATACTAATTATATGTTGCAAACATCAAGAGATAAGATATTATGTCTTGTGTGTCATAAGTGTATCTGAATTATAAACACGTAAAAGAATATAATGTTCTGTGACTGCTATGAACATAATAAGGTATATTATTATATAATATATATAATTTATTTTGCATATATATTTAGTTGCGATTTAAAAATAAATTTCTTGTATTTAAATAAAAGTTTTTTATCTCTTAAACGTAATATGTATTTAATCATAAGAGCTTTTATATGCATATGTGTATCTAATTTTTGACAGCTACTACATCCATTATTATATCTTTATTAATTTTTTATCATTGTTAATTTCTGTTTTATTATTTTATTTTTTGTTACGTTTTAATGCCATTGTCCTGTGTTTTTGGCAAATGCAAACTGCTTTAGTAGCTGTAACGTCGCAAAATTAATAATTTTTAATTATAGTTAATTTATAATTAATTAATGATATCTAATTACATATGAAAAATTCGTTTTAGAACTCTTCAATCAATCTGAAGTCAATCTTCTCTCTCGATGTCATCATTTGTTATAATTCTGTAATTTTAAATATATATATCTTTGTAATACAGTTTTTTTGTACAAATTAAATTTTTGATAACAATTTTAGTTATTTAAAAGATATTGCTTTATTAATCATTAATTATACAAAAACAAATACATAATTTTCAGTTAAAGGGAAGTTAGTTTTATAATTAGCAAAGAATGTGCATCTTAAAAGACTTCAGGTGATTTTAGAACAGCCTGCGCATTTTGAAATTTTCTTACTATGTATATATCTTATTATTTTTAATTTTTAATACTATGATATTAAATCTAAACATTTAATATCGTAATTAATTGCACCAATGATAATAGACAAAAGCCTTGCTAAATTATTTAGCAATTGTTTATACAGTTGTATAATGTATGTACATGTACACACATACGCGCGCTCTGTATATATACAGTGTGTTCCATGAGACTTCTCCAATCATGCACAGGAAAATAGATAGGATTGAAATAAACACAAAAGTCCTATACGGTTTAGCGATATTCATAATAATCGAAATATTAATTTTATATATATTACACATATAAACGTTACAGATGCTTAACTTGGACTATGAGAACCTCTGTATTGATATACCTTATTATATTTGGGTTTCTACCAATAATTTTTCATTATTCTTATACTCTTCAAAAAAAGATACTTTTTTTAAATTTTGGTAAGTAATTAATTAATTAAATCTAAATAATATTACAAATTAGTAATCTTAACTCTTGTAAGTTTTGTGAATTAAATTTTAAATAGATATATATATATATATATATAATATTGAAATAAGCTCATATTCTCTTATTTCAAAATATGAAATTATAGTCTGTGTATATTAAAACAATATATCATTGCAATTTATTCTAGTACATTGGCCACTTAAAGTAGAGTTTTCCAATCCAAAATTGATTGGGCTGGAAGGCGCTAGAAATTTTTATTTACATACTGATCAGCAAGTAAAAATAGGTGCATGGTGAGTAATTACACATAATCTTATGAAATTTGTAACTTATTAAAGTGCTTATTATATTTTAATATAATAGTACATATTGTATTGTATTAAACGATAGTTCTTCTGCAGGCAGATATTACCACGGTCTTTATTAAATAATTCCATTCCTGCGACAGACGAAGCTTATGAAGCAGTTTTAAGTAATGCTGAGCTACCTGTATTTTTGTACATGCATGGAAACAGTGGTAATAGAGCAAGTTCGCATAGACTCGAACTTTATAAGCTTTTCCAAGATCTAGATTATCATGTTATATGTTTTGATTACAGAAGTAAGTATCAAAAACATGCAATTACTTTTAGAATAAAATTGATAAAAGTACTGTTTATGTTTTACATTTAAAACTAAAATTTTACTAAATTCTCTCATCGATTTAGGCTATGGGGATAGCGATGTAGTAGAACTCTCTGAAGAAGGTGTAGTTATGGATAGTAAATATGTTCTTGAATGGGTGATGAAAAAAGTTAATGATTCAGCTCCAGTTTATGTTTGGGGTCATTCTTTAGGAACTGGGTAATTGCTTTTAAATAATCTTTACAATACAAATTGAAATATTTAGCTTATAATTATAACTTTTTACTTGATATTAGAGTTTCTACACATGTGTTAGCTCTGCTAGCAGCTGAAAATATACAACCAACAGGATTATTTTTGGAAGCACCCTTCAATAACATACAAGACGAATTAACAGAGCATCCATTTGCACAGGTATATTAATTATTATTTATTTAGATAAAAATTATACTATTTCCAATAAATGTAAATTAATTTTTACACGTTTTATACAGATATTCAAACACTTACCATGGTTCCATTGGATAGCTGTTGAACCATTTTATAAGAATAATTTGCGATTTGAATCTGACAAACATATTACTAATATTGATTGTCCTATTATGATATTACATGCTGAAGATGATGGTGTAATTCCAGTTTTCTTAGCAGAAAAGGTATGACTATAATATATTATTTACAGACTTTTGCTGTATATTTACTGTTATATAGATCAGATTCGTCCAAAATTTAGCTCGCGAATTTAGAACGCTTTTCTTTGTCTTCATCGTTTTATTAAGCGAGATAGAAAGAGAAGACAAAAAAATATAATGTTAGAATTCTGCCCAGTTATAGGTTGCTCTAGCCACTATAGCTTCCATCCCTTTTTGTTTTCTATCTAGTCCAATGAGACGATAAAGAAAGGAGAATGTTTAGCTTAAGGACAAGTCTGGTATAATTGTCAAAAAATTAATATCACAAAGTAATAGAAATTAATACAAGTGATTTTATGTTTCAGCTTTATCAAGCAGCATTAGATAGTTTTGGAAACAATACAAATCGTATTCAGATGATAAAAATAGATTCGTCCTATGGGCTTGGACATAAATATATTTGTAGATACAAGGAATTACCTAGTATAATTAAGTAAGTTATTAACAAATTTCTAAAATAAATGCAATTCATTTTTCTATATTACGAAAGTTAATATTGGGATCTGTAGAATTGTATTATTTATCATGCTTAATATCATAATGTTTATTATATTTTCAGGACATTTGTCGTTAAAGCACATGGAAATCTGACTGAATAATTGTATTTAGATTAGAAAATGAAATTGTAAATTATTTCATAGATTATGATATAATGTAAATTATATATGTTATAAAAAATCCATAGTCAAGGATTATTTTATTTATTCAAAAAATGCGTTTATAGGATGAGCATTCTAGTAAATGATAAAGTATTTAAAGAACACATTTTTAATATTTTTGTGATTTTTCTTTTGGTTCTTAAAAAATCTTTGTGATAACAAAATTTTGTCTTTCAAATATTATATTTGTTAAAAATTTTATATTTTTAATGTTTTATAATTACATGTACAATGTAAGAGAAACTATGACATCAAATTGTGCATTCCATTTTTTGTGTATGAAGTTTATTTTAACTTAATGTAAAATATATTTAGATAGATTATTTAGATAAACTTTTTAAATGTGGTATTGTATGAAATAATATATTTGTCTCACATATTCACAGTCTCTTATGTCGTGAAGAAATTATATAAAAATGTGCAAAAATTTTCTGTTAAATAAATAGAAATACATTAATAGTATTATAAGTGAATAATATGTTATTGTAACATTGCAATACTAAGGAGATTATTTCATTTAAACATGCTCTCGAAGAACAAAAAGTAATTATTTACATAGACCTTAATTGTTTACACCGAGCATTTAGTATGCAAACTAACCAATAACTTTCTATTGAATTATTTTTATTTCAGCAATGCAAATGCACACGATATAATAATAATATTTATAGTAATATTTAATTAATCATCTAAATACATATTGTACCAACTTAGTACACCATTTAATTAAATGCATTATCGAAATTAAGATAATTTAATAGAAAGTTACTAGTTAGTATGCATATCAAGTGCTCAGTGTACAATAAACAACTGGAACATATATAAGCTATGTATTCAACTTTGTCAGGAACAGCTACCGTTTTATCAATATTTATCACATTACAATTTTTTCTTATTTCAAACATCTAGAACAAGACAGGCGCGCGCTTTTTATTTCTCAACTTTTTCGATTGAATACGATCAAAAACACGATTTTATTTAACATAAACGTGCACATATACGATATACATTACATAGAAGTAGCCAAAATATTTAAAAAAATTGTATTTAAATACGAAATAATATTACAAATATTTGAAAAAGTATTAATGAAATATTTCCTCTATTTTCACTATTTTTATCTAATTTGACTAGATTATAGGAAAAGTTTTGTTTGCCAATTTTTCATGTGTGAGCTTGTTTCACTGAAAATCATTTTTACAATTTAAGTTACTAATTTTCTGTTTTTATATTTCTCAATCCTTATTAAATTTATTATGGACAGGGTTGGGCATGTATTTAAAATACTTTTATTTAAAACAGTTTTTAGTACATGGAAGTATTATGTATTTAAAATTGAATGGTTGAAAGCTTTATGTATTTCATAATTTAAATAATGTCAATCTTATAATTTAAAATACAAAATACTTTCAATCTTTTATTCTAAATATATAAAATATGTGACATCAAGACATTTAGGAGTCCAAGAATACTAATTTAAAAAAAGTTGTGAAAAAAACAAGTATCAAGAATTAATATGGTAAAAAATAGAAATTCATATTTAATAAGATCCCATAAGAATTAACATGTTAATTTTTATGTTAATTCTCTTTACAATACTTGCAATACTTGCAAATGGTTTTCAATATCCGAACAACTGTGATAAGATGTTTCATATGTTAATGAGCATTTCGGTACAAATGTAATTAAAGATGACGTTGATGGAATATTCAAAATCATTGTCGTTGATGGAATTTCCGACGAAGTTGAGAGTGATTCGTACTTGATGGATGAAGACATATAGCTTGTAGAGACATCTTCTGAATTGCGATTTATGAAAAAGATATTCTGATTATATTTGCCTACAATATACCATTTCAGGCGATATCTGAATTCAAATCCTGATAGGTGATCTTTGTAGTCCATAGTCCTTATATGTATAGATAAAAAAGTTTTCTAGCACGTCCTGTTGAAGACGTCTTGTCAAAATATATTGGAACTTTTGTGGATATTTACTTAAGATAACCATATAAGGTGCGGTCGAGTTGCCACTACAAATGCTTTGAAGCGTTTCTTGATTGGTCAATTTGTAAAATTCTTTCTTTTGATTGGTCAATCAAACGCTTCAAAGTATTCGTAGTGGCAACTCGACCGCAGCCA